CACCCCTCCCGGCGCCAGCCGTAGATGCCCGTCAGGCAGGAGAGGCACAGCTGCGGCTCGTAGTACTGCAGGGGCTGGTGTCTCACCATGCTCGTGCCCACGGCCCTGGCGCCCGGCCCTCAGGCGCCCATGGAGGCCCCTGGCTGGTCCTGTGGGAGGAAGCATGGGGCCGTGAGGATGGGAAGGGTTAGGGGCCGGGCCCCACACAGCAGCAGTCATTGAGGCCTAAGTCAGTGTGCACCATCCTCGGCTCAAAGCCCTACAGTGCACCCAGTCATGCTTGGAGCTACAGACTCTGTCTTGCAGGCCCCCAGAGTCTGGCCCCTGCCACACACCCCAGGACCCCTTCCTCCCCATTTCTTCCCATCTGGCCACACTGATCTCTGTGTTCTTCACACTTGCCTAGCACACTGCAGTTTCCTCTGCTTGGAATGTTCTTCCCTTAGAAACCCTCCTGGCTCCCGCTTTCCCTCCTCTGGACAGATTTTTGCTCAATGGGACTTTCCTGGGTCACCTTCCCACGTCCCCTGAGCTCCCTCCTACATGCTCAGCTTTGTCTTCTCAATCGCGTCTTACATACGGTGCTGACTTACTTCACTTCTTCTGTCTTGTCTGCCTACCCCACTAGAGCATAACTTCACGAAGGCGAGGAGTTTGTTTTATTCTCTGCTGTAACCCTAGTCACTAGAAAAGTGCCTTGCACTTTCACAATAAACATATTAAAATGAATGATCATAACGTGCATCAACGCTTACACTACATAATGGGCATCCAGCACTTTACTACACCAGACGCTGTGTGAGCACTTTCCAGTCATCGTCCCTCTCATCTCGCAGCCACCTCAAGTGGCAGGCAACCTCCGTCCTACACCCACTTGGCAGCTGAACAAACTGAGGATCAGGGAGAGAAAGGGCAGTGCTTGGCTTGTAGTCACTCAGTTGGGTGTGGTCAGTCTAGGTATCTGCTCCAGGATCCCAAAGTAGTCATTCTTCCAGGCACAGGGAACCCCAGCCTGGCGGGGCCTGTGGAAGACTGGCATAGCAAAAGGAGGTGTCTTGAGGGACCACAGCCCCAGCCCTGCTTGGATCTGGAGGTACCTGCAGAGGGGCTCAGCCTCCTGGGATCAGTGTCCATCAAACGTGACCAGGTGGCAGTTGGCTTGGGGCACCTCACACACCCCAGCACCAAGCATCCATCTGGTCTTCAACACCACTGCGAGGTAGTGTCATTATTATTATTATTTCTGCAGTTTGCACTTGAGGAACCTGGGGCCAGGGAGAATAAACGATTTACCCCAAAGTGCACAGCTGTACAGAGGCTGTCCCCTGGTCTGTGCAGTGCCAGAAACTTGAACTCTCATGCTCCATACAGGGCCTTGTCTTTGGTCCTGGAGATACTGTGAATGGGACAGACAGTGGCCCTCTCAGGGCCCTCGCAGGACCAGCAAGAGGACAAATAGGTAGTGTTCCACGAATTTTCTGTGTGTGAACTTTACAGCAACGTAGAAATATTATTATTATTTATTAAGATATAATTCACATGGCATAAAATGAACCCTTTCAAGTATATGACTTGGTATTTCGTGTATTCAGTGTTCAGTACACTCATAAAGTTGCTCAACCGTCATCACGATCTAATTCCAAAATCGTTTCATTACTCCAGCAAAGTCCCTAGATCCATTAGCAGCCACTCCCCACTAGCTGCAGCCCCTGGCATCCAGGAACCTCCTTTCTCTCTCCATGGAGTAGCCACTTCTAGAGACCGCGTGTAATGGGATCGCGCACTATGCCGTCTTTTGAGCGAGGCTTTCACTTAGCATATTGTCTCAAGGTTCATCCAGGTTGTAGCACATACCAGAACTTCATTCCTTTTTATGGACAAATGATATCCAATTGTATGTATCCACCACATTGTGTTTATCTGTTTGTCAACCTGTGGGCATTTGGGTTGTTACCACCTTGGTTGCTATGAGTTGGTTGCTATGCTGCTATGAAAGCGTTTTCGTGTGAGCATGTATTTCCATTTCTCTTGGGTACAGACTTGGCAGTGGAATTGCTAGATAATATGGTGACTCTTGTGTCTGACCTCTCGGGGAACTGCCAAACTGTTCTCCAAAGTGGCTGTACCAATCACATTCCCAAAGCATTATCGTTATTATCCCCCATTTTACAGATGAGAAATCTGAAGGCCAGAAAGGTTTAGCCACTTACTGAGGGTCACTCAACAGAGCCGGAATTCACGCCCAGGAAGTGTGGCTCTAGTCTTGCTCTAACCCCGGGGTTGGGAAGCTGTAACCTGTGCACCTGCCGAATCTGACATGCTGGCTATGTACAGTCTAAGAATGGCTTTTACATTTTTAAATGGTTAGGGGAATATCTATAGGATATGTGTGTTCACCAGAAACAGAGAGAGGAGGAGGAGGGAACTTGAGAAGGCACCCTCCAGGAGGGATGGCCACGCTGCAATCCCTCCTCCTCCTTCCTCCTCTCAGGAATTTGGGAACACACACAGAAGTGCTCAGCGTGTTTTTCAGGCTCCCAGGTCCAGGATTTGAGCTACTCAGTCATGCATGTGGGATCCAGCCACCTTAACCTCCATGTCGTCTGCCTGCCCCTAAATGTCTTGTGATACACGAATGATATGAAAGTCAAATTTAGTGTCCATAAGTAAAGTTTTATTGCACACTGCCACACTCTCTCAAGGCTGCGCTCTGCATGCTGTCTTAATTGGAGCTGCAGAGCTGAATTGCTGCGCAGACACCAGGTAGCTGCAAAACCCACTTACTGTCTGGGCCTTTAGAGACAATGTCCACAGACTCCTCCACCTCCAGCTGCCCACTCATCATGCTCTAAAGGCTCCTGAAACAGCATTGCAAATACAGTGGATGATGGATAGAGGGAGACCATGAGCACTTAATGTGGAGTGGGGAGGGTCAGGGCCCGCCTCCTGGAGGAACTTGAGCTGTAGCCTCTGAGATGGGCTCTGAAGATGCCAGGATGTTGCTCTCTGAGTGCCTGGGGGCTGCTGCACAGGACCACGCTTGGCTCAGGCCCAGCCTCTACTTACGCCTCCAGCCTTACTTGGCCTGGGTCCGCCCCTCCCCCACATTGCCACCGACCTAACCTCAGCACAAGGATTACACCCTGCAGTTCGAGAGAACAGCACTGGGACCTTGCTGGGAATACCAAACGACCCTAAGCCTGCTGAGGACTGTCCCATGCAGCCCCTATCCCAGTGGAAAGGGATGTGAAGATAGTGCAGCTGCTGGGGGCTCTCCAAGCAGAGTGGAGCTCAGGGTCCAGGGCCAGTATGGAATGGGGGTGCTACCACACTAGGGTGCTGGGAATTGGGGAAGCAGGGTGGGCAGTAGGGAAGTACGCTCAGTTTTACCGTACTCTGGGATCTGGGAAGGCCATGTTGGTACTCATGTACTTGTCACCTTCCAGAGAGGGTAGAAGGCCAGAGTCCATAGCCAGGGAGCCGGATCTTACCTGCACACCCCACATTGGAGCCTGTACTGTCACGTCAGCTATCACAGCTGCCCCACCCCCAGAAGGGGAGGCAGAGTGGAGACAGAGAAGGAAACCCTGCTTCCTCTCCCTGGCTGGCTCTGTGGCTGGGCCACTCAGGGCTCCTCCCTGAGCCTTGGTTTCTGAATGTGTAAAAGGGGTCAATCCTTTGCCTTGACCTCTATAAGAGGACACATGATTGGGGGCAGGGGGGAGGAAGGTGGAGGCAGAGGGTGTCACTGCTTGACCCGGGTGCCTCTGGGGGACATTCCACCTGCCCTATTTCTAAGCCTTCACATTCCTTTCCCAGGACACCACGGACCCTGGGACTCCCACTCTCCCCTACCTCATGACTGGGCACTATAATCAACCAAAGAATGGAAATTCCACTCTGGTCTGGAAAAGAGGGAAGTGGAGCTGCTTGCGTCACCCTGTGGCCCAGCACTCAGTGGCTTCTGGCTCTGGGAGTGTCTCCGCTCCAGCGGCTTTCACCCTGATTGTAACTGTGGGGTGTCTTTGGGAGCAAACCTCCTCTCTAGGAGCCAGCCCACTCATCCGCTCCCACGGCTCTAGTTACCGGGCACTGCCAAGGCCACCCAGACTCTGCCTCTCCATCCAGATAGCCATGGCTCCTGGCTGTCTCTGGGGACTGTCGCCCAGGCTCTGCAGCCACACTGACCTCTTCACCACACCAAGCTGCTTCTCAGCCCTCCAGGCCCTTTCCTCACACCCCTCTCCTCTGTGCTGGTCTGGGGCTCATCTCTCATGCCCCTGGCCTGGAGTCCTCTGGCCTTACTGTCGTTAGCCCTGCCCCCTTCCAGGCTCTCACCTGTGCTACAGAGAGCCTCTAATAGGCAGGGGGCCAGGACCTGCCCCTACCCCTCCTGTGGCCACAGCTCAGAAGCTGCTTCCTCCAGGGGCCTCTCCTGAGCTCGGGGTTGGTAGGCTCCTGGCCTTCTGTCGGTCTACATGTTGTCCTCCAGCTAGACAAGCTACGTGAGCACTGCTGGCATGTCTGTCCCCTCCACAGGCAGCCTGTTATCCCCAGTAACCAGCCCTGGGCTCTCCAGACTCACTTCCAGGAAGTTCCCAAAAGTTCTGCTGACAGAGACGAGCGAGCGAGTGAGCTGCTCAGACGCTGGGCTGGCCCTCAGAGAGGCACTAGGAGAGCAGACCCTCCAGGCCCTCCCCTTCCTGCTTAGGCTAATGGCATTACTTGGGATCCATTGATTTCGAAGCCACCTCCCAGGGCTGCTGATACCAGCCAGGGCTCCTGCTGACTCTGAGCCAAGAGAAAGCGCTCACCTCTGAGCCTTAGGTCCAAAGCTCCTCCCCAGCCCAAAGTCCTAGTTTCTGTCTGAATTCTTGGCCCCTGCTCTGAACTTCCACAGCCTCCCGATTGCACACAGAAAGGCCTTCTGAGAGTCCATGCCTGAGATGAATTAAATGCTGCTACGAAGCAGATGCAGTATGTCAGAGGGGCTCATGCCTCGGCTCTCTCCTACCCTGCCACCCAGGGATGCCCCTGACCCACATCCCTGCTCCTTCTCTCTTGGGTAACTGCCAGGTCACCAGGCCCTCACTGCCTCCACACCATGCTGCCTTTGGACCCAAGCCTATCTCTTTCTTGAGAGTTGAGT